AAAAAAAAAAAAAAAAAAAACTATCTGCTCGTAACTAATCTGTAACTTGGTGAAGAACAAGGTTTATCAACCAGCCATTTCACTTTTTGTCCGTATTATTAGTCACTGGTGTCAGTAACCTTCCTTAAAGGCCGATCAAGTGACTTTGATCCGTTTAGACCTGAGATCTTAAGTCACAATTTTGTCAAACTTGCACAGTACTGACAGCCTTCACCTTAACCTTTTTCTAACAAGCCAAGCATACATGGGCGTAAAAACGCCCACTACTGTTGTTATTTGTTTCTTGTTGAAATTAAGAGACAGCATTATGTAAGTGTGTACATTGCAAGGCTGTTTGATGTGACACCTGTTGCAGCCTAAAATACCCACAATGATTCACGATTTCCATTGCGGTGAACCGTTCATATAACAACAAATCCCAAAAATCCAGCATTCTGCTCCAAGAGCAACGCTGAAAAAGCGTCGATATTTTAAGATGAAAACTTGCTCTCAAGAAATCAAAAGTTTGCATTCAAAACACACCTCAGGGCCAGATCTTGCTGTTTGCCTGGAAAATACCTTCTCACTTTATCCGCTAGCCCTTGTTCTTCCTTTTGACGAAAGCTAGTGTCGCAAACACAACCTTTGCCTTGTTTATGACCGAAAAGAGTTCTGGGAAATTCCACCCAACTCGAGAAGGCAACACCTCACTTTTCCATTTTAAAACATTATTAGAATCGTGTCGGGCCACCCAGTCCTACCAGCAAAATATCACATCGATCGAGACTTTTGCCACTCAAAACTGGCCCAAAAAGCCTTGGTAGGCCCTGGTAGCCATCCAAAGATGGGCCAGAGACACGACTTCACTTGTGAACTCGCCAAGCTTGCATGAAAGCATTTTGGCGGTCCAGTCTACATGAAACCACCTCTCGCCTCTGTTTTCTTTCAGAGGCTTGCCTCTACCCACATTCTAGCTTAATGATGCTGTCCTGAGGGCTTCTGTAGAGGGAAAATGGTTCGAAAACACTTATAAACGCGAGAAAACGAATCGATTTGAACGCATCCAAACACGTGCGGGTGATCTAGGTCACGTGACCCCAAAGTCTGAACGCACGGTGTCTCAAAACCGCAAATATTGTAAGGGATACTTCATATAACGACAAACAAAGCTAGCTTAAGTTTCGTATGGCCAAATTATAAGGTTTTTTGCGGCTGGAAAAGAGTTAAATGTCTTAGATGGCACAGTAGCATTAAAAACCTTTTGTTTGTCAAAAATTGCACTGTAGAAGCTTATATAATAATAATAAAAAAAATATTACGGCTTTTAATCAAGAATAATTTCGCCTCAATTAAATGCACGCTCATTGGCAAGGCGAAATTAGCCCGCTCACACAGGTAAATCATAGGGTGATAGATTAATAAAGGTTGGCCGCCTAATACAGGTTATACAGAAAATGGGTATTATATACCTGCCATTCGATAAATAAAAACTCGCTCAAGAAAACGACTGACGTTGATTCGGTAGATAAAAATGGATCCTATTTTGCTTGAAGGATTATTCTTAATCTCATTTGAGTAGTTCCGCCATCGGAGTTACCGTTCAATACAGGTGGAACACAAAATGTACGGGTCGTTCAGAATTATTCTATGGTGAACACGACCGCTAAAGAGAGATGACCGCTAAAAAGAGAGGAAAATCATACTACCTGAGGTGAAAAAAATTTGGGACGATCGACCGCTTAATACGCACCGACCGCTTGATAAGGTACCGCTTAACACAGGTCCGACTGTAATTTGTCTCCCGAACATACCATGTTCCAATATGGAAAAACATAGAAATCTATAATAGATTAAGTTATAGGTGCAAAAGCTAAAGTATTCAAGTTTGCTACCGTATGTTGGAGTGTTTCGTACAATGTAGGAAGATGGCGTTTATCAAAATAGTTAGCAACAACATTTCACTCATTTTACGTCAAAATGTATGTCACATAAGAAGGACGGTATTTTTTCCTTACTTTTTTTTTTCCGTCCCAAATATTTCACGTCTTACAATTTAAATTGCGATCAGACTTTATATCTGATACAGCAAGGCTCAATAAATGGAAAAATTTAGAAATAATGCTAATTCTTGAGAGTTTTATTATTAATGATGTTATGGCTGTTGAAGTTGATTGAGCTGCAAAGGAAGAATTATTCCACCTGCATGATACCTTTAATTAAGGTAAACTTCTCATAAGAAAAACATTTCATCTCCATATCTGCAACACAATAATTTTTCTCGTTCTTCAAGCTTTAATGCTGGCTTCGTCATTCTTTGGGACTTCTTTTCGAGAAATAAATATTTTAAGCCCGTCAAAAGTTATGGTGATTCTGGACCTGTTCGTTGTTTTTGCGTTAACGCTCGCAGTTAATAGAGGTAGGTCGAACAGTGGTAAAAATTCCTATTAGGTAAATCTTCTGTATAAATTTCCTTCATGACTACGCATCAAGTTTCCATACGCAATAATCTATTCAATCGTAAACTTATCAATAGAGATGGCCAAATCGACGGCGATTTGGCAAAGTACGTTTATGAGGCATGCTCAAGGTATGTGCACAGTTTTGCAAGATAAACAGCATGTTTTCGTTTGATTCAAGTCCCAGAAAAATTATCTTCTTATTTTGGCAAAAAATAACGAATACCGAGTAACAGAATGAAGTAATTATTTTTCCAATCTGGGAGAAAGAGAAATACAGTATTACCAATTTTCTTTTTTAACGAAATTTTTTCAAATAACATTTACAGTCAAAATTTTCGCCCAAGTGATAAACAACGGGGTCTATTTTAAGAAAAAGATTTTGGTTTTCTGAGATATTACAAACAAAATTAGGAGTCTTTTGAATATTTGTTCAAGATGCCCGTCAGAGGTATTCAGGCGATTGTCCTCTGACCTCCTGTCTCCGGCCGATATTGGCCAAGGGAGACTCTTGCCTTAACGGGAGCCCTTTAGTTATAAAATTAATTCAACATCATTGTTTCAATCCTCTGGCTCTCCTAAAAGTAACCATGTAAGTTGTATACCTAGCATTGATAAAACAATCTTTTACACCTACGTAATTTTGGTTAATTTCTAACACTAAATAAGTTGCTTGGTATAAAGGAACTGAAGAAACTGGTTTAATTAAGCGATACGAGGTAATTACTAGGTCTGGAGCTCCGGGGGATTAATATCATTTTCTAAAATATTGATTAGCTAGGGTAATGATTGGTTGTTCTCACTTTTACATGTTATAGCAAATTCAAATGAGTGCAGAGACATTCTATTCAACCCAGACAGCAAAGACAAGTATTTACGTAATCACATAATCAAAACCGTGCCAGTTAAAAGTAAAATAAGCTGCGAACTGATTTGCTATAATGACCCCAACTGTGTGTCTTACAACTACGGACCAGTTCTGAGTGAGACTCCTCTATGTGAAGTGAATAATAGCACACACTTACAAGCCTCGAGCGGGAATTTTATAAACAGAAACGGCTACAGCTATCGAGGAATTGAGGTAAGCTTTACAACCCAAACACAATCAAAGTTTCTTGCGTTACAACCTCACGTAACATGGGAAATGTAACCACAGAGAAAAGGTAGCCATGTTTTGGGAAGATTACTAGAGCTCTTATAATTAGGTAGTTTTAAGGTACCCGGCATCGGCTATCAGTTTGGAAGAGAACAAATTAGATGAGTCGGACGTGGCGCATACAACAGACCTTGTTCACTGTTAATTCCCTAAATGTTGGAGACCAAGTGAAATCTTGGTGAGGTTAATGTTTTCTTGAAATAATGAATTTAATGATCTCTTCTCAAAATTATGGTGATGATAATTGAAAAAATGAGAGTAAAGAGAATTATCCCTAAAGAACCGTGCGTGATCTTAGCACATGAACTGAAGGAAAGACACTGATTCATTTTCTTCCACAAAGAATCCTTGTGGAAGCAGCCCATGTCAGAGTAATTCAACTTGTCAAGCTGGGTTTACTTCAAAAGGATACCGTTGTGTCTGTTCGCAAGGATTTGGAGGAGAGAATTGTGAACAAGGTATTTCAAGGTTTTTTTTTTTCAAGTAATGCGGGTATTCATGCCTCCTTATGCTTCTTGGTATTCTCATTTTTTCGCTTTAGAAAATTTCCGAAATTCTCTAAAGTCATTGACTGCATGTTTAGATATTTCACTTGTGTATAACAAAAAACTTCCTTCCCACTTCATAGCAAGTAACGTTTTCTAATCAATTTTCACTTTAGATTTCCTGGATCATTATCAGTAGCTTATATAAAATTACCATGGCATTCTAATAAAAACCCTCTTATGTAAATCGTCATTGTTACATAGTGACAATATAGAGGTACAGATATAAAACCCCTGGATATAAGGTACGGGTTTAAGATCCTTGGTTGAAATTAGAGGAAGGGCATTTGTGATCGGCGATCAATTTCAACAGCTACGCGCAGACCCCTAGATGTAACATTTTACCATCGCTATAAACACTGGTTACAGGTTTAACAGCGATGTGACATTGTAAGTCCAATATGAACATCTGGGCACAGATTGCGCCCCGTATGTAAGAGTTTACGATCGACACAGACCCCTGACCGTAAGATATTACGATCAGTATCAACATCTGAGTACAGCCGGTCATGTGACACATTGATTAAAACCTCTGGGTGTAACTTGAGGAACAACGAACAATATCAACATCTGGCCAATCCGTCTCGCGACTTGGGTAATCCTGTTAGCATGTTGGTGTTCTTTCAAAAATCGTGCCAATATAATTTAAATAACTCGATGTGAATATTAGAAGTTTTAGTCAAGAGTTACAATGTTACGACTTGTAGTGAGGAAGTCATTCGTGCCATCCTATCGTGATTATATTTAAAAGTTTTACTCAAAAAGTATTCGAATTGATGAGAATACATTTACATCTCGACTGCCACAAAAGCCTCTCTTCTCGTATATGATTTATAGAATTAGAATGCTCATAACAGGGATCAGACTAGTACAGCAGAGAGACCTACAGATCACTGCATCGTGTGCTGGGATTCTTATAATTATTCTTTGTACCGCTTTATTTTTCCAGTCATTCTGCCTCAGAACTGTTCTGAAGCCCCAAAGGAAACGGGAGTCTACAAAATTTCTATTCACGGATCAGACCCATTCCCAGTGTACTGCGATCAAACAAGTGATGGAGGAGGTACGTCAAACTGAATAAGATGATCTCAATTAGTTCAACCGTTAGGCGTAAAAAAGCCAAAAATTTTGCCTATAGGGATAAAAATTGACAAATTGAAGCCGTTAGTCATAAAAAACGTGAACCTTGATTGCAAAACCATTAACCATAAACCGAAAATTGGCCAAAACTTAGTGTTAGTCGTAGAAGCCATCACCCCTTTGAGACCCTCGAATAAGCGTCATCAGTAGTTTCCAAATAAGTAGTTGTTTTATTCCATGTAATATTGAGTTTTCTTGCTGTACAGAATTCCCGGTACAAGGTGAAACTTCTCCCAGTCACAGTAAGATCCCATGATCAAAGAAATGCTCTCGGACTTAAATTTAAAATGAAGGTCGATGTCTTATTTATTTTCTATTTTTCTTTTAGCGACAGAAATGCAGTCAATTAAAAAAACTGTTTCTAGAGTTTTGCAGAAGAAGCAAATGATTTTCACGACCTTGGACTATTTCTTAGAGTTTTGTTTAGTTTTGTTCTGTTCTGTTTTTTTTTCGTTTTTGTTTTTGCTTTTGTTTTTTAAAATTTATTTTAAGGTTGGACGATGATATTCAAATACATTGGAGGAATGTCTTCTTCACCGACTGGTGATGCGTTATGGAGTTCATTCGACACATTATCAGAAAATCTCATCGCTGCTTTAGATACCACCGCAAACTACCAAGGTCACTACAAAAACCGTCTCGTTCAAAGTTGGCAAACTTTTAACCCTCAAGAGGTAAGTCCGTAAAATATTTACATCACAGAGGGTAAGGCTAAATGAAACTTCGTTTACTAAATCCTCATGCAATGTTAATGCACTTCCCTATAAATGACTTGGAAAAAGTAATTTATTTAAATTTTTTAGGAAGCAACCAATGTAGTAGGCTGAATTTTACACTTTACCCCGGAAGCTTTTAATGCTTTAGGGATGATTAGAACCAGGAGTAGTAGTAGCCAAGGCAGAGTTATACCAGAACCAAGGCGCCGATACAATAATTTCCAGTTCAAAACTTTGCTTCCTGGAGTTTACATCGTGATGTCATGTGTCATCTGTGTCATACAGAGAATTGATAAAATGTTAGAATTCTTTAAAATATGTTTGGGAGGGACAACAAGAGTTTGATAAAAAATTCCTCCAATTCTCCATGTACGCATCTATTAATATGTAGATAACGGAAAATTTTCTTGTGTGACTTTAGGTTCGTGTAGTACTTTACACGAATGGAGCAGAAGTTATCTCTATGAAGTTCAATGCCAGAGGGACAACTAACCTTGACTGGTTTTCAGAAAATAATCTACTTCAGTCACCATGGACGGATCTTAAGAACGCGGTAAACATTTACATCTTTCGCATTAATGGTGACGGGGTACGCAATTTTGAAATTACAGCTTATTACAACGGATGCCCTAATGATGCTGGGTGGTTTTTGATCACGGGATCTTACTGTGACTGGGAGAAGTTTCACCTTGTACCGGGAATTCTGTACAGCAAGAAAACTCACAATATTACATGGAATAACAACCAAGGTAAAAATTGCTTTAATAACTCTTGCAATATCTCTGTTATTGTTTTTCAANATTAGCGAAGAGTTCATCCACACATTTCTGTTTTATCTTTTGCAGTGGGAGGATAGTATATCGCAACAAGTCTAGAAAACTTGTGGGCCCCTTGTGTACGACCTTCATTGCTCATTGAAAGACACGACAAACTTTTATTTGCCATTCACCGAGAATAGTTTTACGAGGCGTACTACCAGGAAAAATTTCAACTTGCACAGACAAATTAAGGAATCAAACAAAGTGGCAATTATTCCACTTTACTGAACTTAAAACCCCTTGTCCAGCACCGTAGGAAAACCTTGTAAATACAATTAAGATATGTCTAAACGTACATGGTATAATTTGGAATTAAAATACAATTCCGCAGACCGTTGTCCCGTAACCAAAGTAAGGTATTCATGAAACTGAAAAGTTCATCAGTTCTTTTCCTAACATATAACATGCTATGTACATCATCTTTGCGAAAAAGGGTGAAACGAAAAAAAGTTTTTAAGGTTACTATAGGTACAAATTGAGGTAATTCCAGCCAGTGGCGGAGTAACATTTGCATTTACGTTTTCCAGCCTCAAACAGAAACGTCAATTAATGGTGGGTATTTGAATCCAGAACCGAGTAATAAATTCTCTAAACAAATGATGTTTTCATAAACTACTTCAATCACCATGGAATGATCTTAAAAACGCAGTAACATTTATGAGGGTCCCCAATAGGGTTATTCAATCCCGCCTTCCCGACCGGAATTTTCCCTCAATCCCTCAATCTCGACGGTTTCTACCAGCTAATCCCGATCCCGGTCATATTTTCTTAATTCCTTACCTCAGCAAAAATGATCCTTGAAGCTCCGTTTCAGATTCCCTCACAGAAGACTCAAGCACTGACTTTACGTTGAATTAGCTGTATCTCTCTGCACTAAAACGATGATCTAGTTAATTTGTTTTTCATGACTGGTTTTAAACGAGTTTCGTCAGTCAATGAGTCATTTTCATGGTGTTTATAGCTGTTTTTTTTCTTTGGTGTTTTCTCGGTTTTTTTCTGTTTTGCCTCTTTTGTTCGATAACACCTGCCTTCCGGATCACTTCGATCCCTGAAGAAAGTGTCTCTCGGAGATGATAGTGATCAATGAAGAGCATTAAA